AAGTTCAATCAATAAAAGATAATCAATAATATAAATAAACTTAAAATCTCTTTATATGCCAAAACGCTGAAGAAAACTAAAACTGATATCAAAAGGATATGAAAAATGAATATCAATTAGAGAAACGGTAAAAATTAAGAATTTCTCATGCATATAATTAAAAGTTATTTCAATGGAACTTACAAAAAACAAGAGAGAACGCTATAGTCGGGTGCCCCGACTATCAGATACCCGTTACTCAGGTAAAGGGAGTGCGAGGGAGATGGAGATAAAAACTTTGATCATGCATAACTTTTTAACGAATGGTCCGATTTGAAAAATTTCTTCAACATTTCGATAGGTATTGATAAACACAATAAAACTGCATTTTTACTTTTCCGAAATATTTAAATTTTTAAAATCGTATATAAGCGATTGTGGGCGTTAAAGGGGGCGTGGCACCTTTTTGAAATAAACTTGCGCTGCGTAGGAACTCCTAGAATCTGCATGCCAAATGCCAATCTTCTAGCTTTTATAGTTTCCGAGATCTCAGCGTTCATACGGACAGACAGACGGACAGACAGACGGACAGACGGACAGACGGACAGACAGACGGACAGACGGACATGGCTATATCGACTCGGCTAGTGACCCTGATCAAGAATATATATACTTTATAGGGTCGGAAACGCTTCCTTCTAGCTGTTACATACTTTTGCACGAATACAATATACCCTTTTACTCTACGAGTAACGGGTATAAACATATAAATGATATGTGTACCTTTTTATTTAATATAAAGCCACGTTTAGTTCTCTAAAAGGACCTTTTTTTTTGCTGTGTAACGTTCTCTCCTGAGCCATCGCTCTCTTTTCGTTCCGCTCATCAATTGGTGATAAGCTCGGCTCTCGCTATTGTTGTTGTTGTCGCTGCTGCTGCGCTGCAAGTGAAATTTCGCCGGATTTATTTTATTCGTACTTCCCCCGTCGCTTTTTCGATTTCAGTTTTGCTGTGCTCGGCGAGCGGAGCGGTGGGTGGTGGTGCATAAATTCGAAATACCAAAATAAAAACATATAAAAGCGGGTGGCTCTTATAGGAAGCCGTTAGAAAGGAACGATGCGGTTCAGCGGCTACAACCGTTATCAGTGCTTTTGCTCCGCTTTTGCTTCGCTTCTGCTTTGCTTCGCAGTCGGCGCTGCGTTGACGCGGGCAGACGACGCCGGCAGTGACGTCGACGGCGGCAGCGCCAGCAGGTTTGTGTCCCCGCTCGACAGGAAATTCCAGCAACAACAACGGGAATTAACTTAAAAATTAGAAATAAAAAAAGAACAAATGACATTAAAATTTAAAATGGTTTTAGCTCCGAACAATTTCCCTTGAAAGTGTATAGAAAGAGAATCTACAAGATATTTTGAAATTATAAAATTTGCATTTCTCCCAAGTAGATTTGTGTCTTTGCTAGGCAGGAAATCGCAGCAACAAAAAATGTTCAATCGAATCAATTAAAAAAACAACAGAAAATTCCACTAAAATTACGTTCCGCGCAACTGAGTTACCTTTCCATTTAAATTTAAATTAGCATTCATCCAAAGCAAGTTTGTGTATCCGCTAGAAAGCAAATCACTGCAACAACAACAACTGCAACAAGTGAAACCAGGCTCAATAAACAAAAAAATTAGAAACTTAAAAAGCAAAACCAGCTGGAAATGCAACTGTAACTGTGCCAAATGCCATTTAAATGCGAAATTACATTCGACCCGAGTGAATTTCGCGAAAAGCTAAACAATCGTTGGAAAGTGTGAAAATAGGGAGAAAGTGCCATAATGAACTTATCGGGAAAGTGACAAAAAAAAATATTTTCTTCAACTGATTTTCTATACAAGTACAAATTTTAATTTTCCAATTGAAAAATGTCTTAGTTAAATAGAACTGCCTAAGTTCAGTTTAAAAGATAAATAATATAACACTTTGTGTGAGTTTTTTTTTTTTTATTTTTTGTTCAGTTGGTCATAAAGTGCAAAAAAACAACCTGATAAATAATACTCTTTTTTTTTGTTTGTTATATATTTGAAATTAGTTTTAGTTGTTTCATGGATATGTACAGATGTAAGGGATTTTACAACTGTGAGTTCAAAAAAGCATTTTTTTTGTATCCCAAAATTATGAAATTCAGAACGGTTTTAATGAGAACCAAATTGTATTGGTTTCTTAATAATAGTTTTAAAAACATATAATTTCCGTTAAATCATTCATCAATCATCACTCATCATATTTACATATACATATGTATAAACAGATGACAAAGCTCTTATCTGTTCTTACACATACTTGGAATGTGGGTATAGATAAATATGTTATTTGCGATTTTAATATTGTTTTTTCCGTAAATGCCTCGTAAAACTGATAAAGGTTTATCGTATAGAAATGCATCCATCGTTCAGAATGAAATCCATTCTGATACTATCTGTAAAACGTGCTTAAACTGAAAGATCATATAAAACTTTTTATAAAATACTTTTTGTCTGACGAAACAAAAATAATTGTATTTAATAGAAATAACAATAATAACACAGGTAACAAATTAACCACTTAATGTAAATAATTTTAATATCACTTTTTGAAAACCACTTTTAATTGTTTTGTTTCACTTTCTTTCTGGTTATACAAATTTCCCTACTTCTCGTTCTAAAAATTCCCCTAAATATTCAAAATAAACGTTATGTTGTTTTAGGAGTTTTTAATTTATTTTTAATTGATTCTTAAATAGACCGAATAAAGCTCTTATAAGAGATGGCTAGAGTGGATATACATAGTAAATAGTATCAATTGTATACTAAATAAAATTAGCTATTTAGCTACGGGAAAGCATTAAATTGTCACAGGTCTTGTTTTGGATCAATAAGAATTTATTCAGATGACAAGCTTTTTATTAAAGATACCGGATGTCACTTTGTTTTCAGTGTGGTATCCTGCGAAACTGAATAGCTAAAAAAACCCACAGGTTCTGATATAATTAACCACACCCAGTAAAAAACCTAGTGACTAGTTCTCAGCTTGCTGTGATACAATACTAATAGCAAATGGACCCCTTTGAATTTCCAGGAAGTGGCTGTGCAGTCGGACGGACATCTGCACCTCGGAGGCGGAACAGGTGGCGGGGCTGCAGTATGCACCGGAGATCTTCGAGAGCCAGCGGGACTGCCGGCTGTCCTGCGGGAAGTTCGGCTCCATCTGGCCGATGCCCACGGGCAGGGAGTGCTCCATTGCGCACGGCCGGGTGCGATTCGATCCGTGGAAGGTGCGCTTCCATGTGGTGGCTCCCGGCGAGGCGGCCACCCAGTTCCTTCGCGAGACGAACCGCCTCTTCGTCTCGAATCTGCTGAAGGAGTGCACGCGGAACTGCACGCTGGAGAGCAGCAAGCAGATCCTGGTCAGGTCGACGGTGAGCAACGAAAGCCTGGTCCTCGACTGGCCCACGGACGAGAGTTACGCCTTGGTGGTGCGAACGACGGACACGGCCACCTTCGTGGACATCCAGGCGACGACGGTGTACGGGGCACGTCACGCCTTCGAGACGCTGAGCAACCTGGTCACCGGCAGTCTCTCCAACGGCCTGCTGATGGTCACCACCGCCAACATCACTGACCGGCCCGCTTTCCCCCATCGCGGAGTGCTGCTGGACACGGCCAGGAATTTCGTGCCGCTGCGGTTCATCCGGAGCACCTTGGACGCCATGGCGGCCAGCAAGATGAATGTGCTGCACTGGCATGTGGTGGACACGCACAGCTTCCCGCTGGAGATTACCCGGGTGCCGGAGATGCAGCGTTACGGAGCGTACTCCTCGTCGCAGACGTACTCGCGCCAGGACGCCCTCAATCTGGTCAAGTACGCCCGGCTGCGTGGCATCCGCATCCTGATCGAGATCGATGGACCCTCGCACGCGGGCAACGGATGGCAGTGGGGTCCTGCCGCCGGACTGGGCAACATGTCCGTGTGTCTGAACCAGTCGCCCTGGAGGAGATTCTGCGTGCAGCCGCCCTGCGGACAGCTGAATCCTTTGAACGATCACATGTACGCCGTGCTGAAGGAGATTCTCGAGGACGTGGCCGAGGTGGGCGCCCCCGAGGAGACGCTGCACATGGGCGGCGACGAGGTCTTCCTGCCCTGTTGGAACAACACCGAGGAGATCCGGGACGGAATGAGGGCGCGCGGCTTCGATCTCAGCGAGCAGAGCTTCCTGCGGCTGTGGTCGCAGTTCCACCAGAGGAACCTCAATGCCTGGGACGAGATCAACGAGCGGATGTATCCGGGCATCAAGGTGCCCAAGTCGGTGATCATCTGGTCCAGCCACCTCACCGATCCCCGCTACATCGAGGCCTACTTGCCCAAGGAGCGGTTCATCATCCAGACGTGGGTGGAATCGCAGGACGCCCTCAATCGGGAGCTCCTGCAGCGGGGCTATCGACTGATTGTGTCCACGAAGAATGCCTGGTACCTGGACCACGGCTTCTGGGGCAGCACCTCGTACTACAACTGGCGCACTGTCTACTCCGCTGCCATGCCCACTGGACGCAGCAAGGATCAGGTGCTGGGCGGCGAGGCGTGCATGTGGAGCGAGTACGTGGACCAGAACTCACTGGGTAAGTTCTCGCACACATAGGTACTAGAGATCGACTTGGATTTAAACTAATGCACCTCCGTTCTCCCCCAGAATCTCGCATCTGGCCGCGAGCTGGAGCAGCCGCCGAGCGGCTCTGGTCCAATCCCAAATCCTCGGCCCTGCTGGCCCAGCGAAGGTTCTACCGCTACCGGGAGCGACTCTTGGCCCGGGGAATCCACGCGGATGCGGTGGTCCCGCACTGGTGCGTCCTCCACGAAGGACAGTGCCTCTGAATTGGTCGCCGCACAATTAGATTAAGCTTAAGCACCAGCACTGTGTACATATCTGTCAGTCTATGTTACTCTGTTCATCAGTTATTGCCCATAAAGACCTGTTTTTAATCCAATCCCTGCAGCTGGTCTTTAGTTAACGAGTGGAGTTATATTTTGTACATACATGGGTTACAAATAAAAAATCCCAATACTTGATGAATTCGATTTGATCATAGAAAACAAGGGCTTATTACAAGGAGAACAGGAATAGAGCGATGATTCCCTACTTGATGTAGCCCTGATCGATGGCATGCTTGAAGATATCGGCCAGTCGCTGCTGCTTGGCTGGCTGCTTGAAGGGGGTGATGTTCCAGATGTCGGTGAGGATGGCGTTCTCCTTGATCCCATCCAGATCGGCCACCTCCTCGTCCTCCATCATCGTCATCGGCAGCGATTCGATGCCCATGCCGCAGCCAAAGCGTCCGAAGTTCTTCAGCTCCTCCTGCAGCGATTCCCAGGAGATGATCGCCTCCGCATTGCCGCCCAGATCCTGGATCAGGTCCTGGGCACTCTCCAGGTAGGCGCGTAGCAACTTGTCGTAGTGCTGCTCCCTCAGCTCCTGGCTCGTGCAGGAGTAAATGAAGAAGCTCAGGTCCAGGGCCAAGGAGGAGCACCTGGCCAACTGGAAGTCAATGATGATAATCTCCTGCGATTCTCCCTGCTCGTTGTACTTGGTCAGAAAGTTGGGCGTCCAGCAATCGCCGTGCCCGAAGACGCTCAGCTTGGAGCGGGTGGATACCAGGTTGATCAGGTCGTCGAAAAGCGGTGCCTGCAGGAAGTTTTCGGCCACAGTCTCGTATTTGGTATCTGGATACACCTGCTTGATGGCGTCCTTGGCCACGTTCTCCGCCAGCAGGAGAAAGCCGGTGTACCACTCGCGGGTGTGTTCGCCGTAGTAGGTCTCTTCCAGCGATCCCGCTGCCTTCTCAAAGTTCTCGTGATCCAGGGCATTGAATGCCAGGGCCACGCCATGGAAACGACCCAGAGTTCGCATCGTCAGGAGGGCATCCTCCAGGGAAATGTAGTCCTGGCTGTAAGAGTGAAATAAAACCGCGTTTAAGATCTATCATTATATTATTCTTATACTAAAACATTAAACGGAAATTATAGGTATTTTAGAAATGAGGAATCGAACGACTTGTCCTTCCTTATATGATAATTTTAAAATACATAATTTACCCTACCTCAATTCTCTATTTTTTAAGTGTAAAATAATAGTCTTTAAATGTGATATCACATTAAGGTCTAACTAATCAATTTAGTAGAATCAGCAAATTTAACTCAATCGTAATTATTAAATTCTTGAGTCAATAAATATGTAGTATATATAGTCCCTTAAAGCGATAAGATAATGCAGATATAGAGATTAAATGCGCTCGAGTTATCAGTTAACAATAATTTTCCTATAAGTATTTTCAAAACATAATATTATTTAGTCAAATATGTAACTGAAAACAACTATATGTGCTTATACATATTAAAAAAAATATAATTAAATGAATAATCTATTATTTCTACAAAAGCAAATCCTTTTTTTGTTCTAAAAGAGAAGCACCAGTTTCAATACAAGTGTTATATCACTTTATTTAATTTCTAACTAAATAAAAATAACAACGAGTCTCATTGTATTAGTGTTTCAGATATCAAGGAGATCAATGATATTATCTTTCTTTTAGTATAACAATGGGGTTACTAGTAAAGTAGCTACCTTCAATATTAAAGAAATCTAGAAATTAATGTATCGCTTCTGGCTACAATTTCCCTAGATTGAGATAGTATTAAATGCAGAATAACCCGTATAGTCATAAAGTGGTTCGTATGTTTTTATGTATCTTAATGGGGACAACTCACCGCACTGGGGCCTTATAGCCCCTAGGACCCACATCCTCCAGGGCGATGAAATCGTTGACCCCATCGCACAGGCTGGCCAGGCACAGGGGAAACTCGACGAAGGGCTTCTTGGGCGCCGGCTGGCGGGACTTCTGGAAGGCCTCGATGGCCGGGATCACCTTGGTGTAGAAGTGGATCTCATTGCGGAAGAATATCACCGATCGGAACAGTCGCCTGCGGTGGAGATTGTCGGGCATGGCCTTCACGATCACGCTGACCTCCAGTTGCTCCTCATCTCGGCCCGCCTCCGCATCCGCCTCCCGCACGCCGTAGATGGTGATCCGGAAGACCCGGCTCAGATAGGCATCGCCCTTCTTGCCACTCGGTCCGAATTTGTAGGAGGTGTGCCGGGTGCCGCCCTTATTCCGGATGATCTCGTCCAGCGTAGCCTCCGAAAACTTGGTCGAAATGTCCGCGAAACTGGGAAAGCTGCTCATCGTGGTGGCGTCCAAAGTGTGTCTGTCGCTGGCGGAGATCGCGATCTGCTATTTGTAACAAATTAAACTATTTCAGGGGAGCGATAACACGGCGTAATCGGCAAAAACAAAAATAGAAAAGAAACAAAAAAGAATAAGTTTTCGTCGTCAAGTCGACGTCTGAATACCCTTGTGGCTATGGTAAATATTTTTATTGTTATTCGATTTAGACAAATTTTACTGATTTGATGGGATTGTTCTAATGACAACTTTGGAATTGATTCGTCTAATGGTCCGAATTTTTAAGCACGATCTATTAATCGTAAATAAATACAATTGAAAAGGTTGTATGCTGCTAAAGTTTACAATAAGCGATTAAATCGCCAAGTGATACTGATCTGAAGTATATGCACATGTACATATGCATTTGTGTGTAAATACATATGTGTACTTTCTAGAGTCGCGTTCCAAACACCTGATCAAATTAATAAGACACTTTGCAAGGGTATGCACAAAAAGGAAAAATACAAAAAAACGCAAAAGTTTGTTTACCGCGTTTTGTTTGGTACACGTCAGTTCTGCCACTGCCGCTGCCGCAGTCGACGTCGCTGCCCGCACTTACCGGCCTTTTTCCACTTCCCACAGTGCGTATTAATTTGGTGACGTTTATGGTTTTGCCCTTTTGACCGCCAGCTCGCCGCAAACACTTTTTTATTCTAATTTGGATTCGGATAGCGGGTGGTATTAAATGTAAAATAAATTAAAACGCACAGCAACAGCTGAATCGCTCTCACACATACACAAGTACACTTGCGACGATGTAAGTGTTTTAAGAATACAAATGAGTGACGGCTAGAGATGCGCCAGCCGGAGTTCCAATCCAGTTTATAGCTGGTTCACGCCAGTTTCTAGCTAGTTGATAGCCAGTTTCCAGCTAGCTTATAGTCGGTTTTTGACTGGCCTCTTGGTTTTAACACACAGTTTTATTATTAACAACAATTTTAAGGTAGTTGATATTATTAAAAGACTTATTTAGCTAAACGGGAAACAATTAAACTGTTTTCGGTCCCATAGCATATTAAGCTATCTGATAAAGGAAGTCGTAAATCTTCATCCTATGCTAGGGTTTTTATCAACATCACATTTTTCTAAGGTTGTTTCCATTTTTTGTATAACTTCCGAAAAAGCCCTGATATCCGATCATTTTACAATCTTTAGAATCCATGCAATTTGAGACAGTGATTACGAATAATTACAGTGAGTCACAAAAGTATTCGTTGCAAAAAGGGTTAACTGATAAATGCCAATTTAAAATAAGTAACCATTTTAAAATGGTAAAAAATGGTTTATGTTTCCAAAGATATATATTTTGTAAAGTATATGACGAAAAAACACGAACAGAAACCGCTTTCCATTGAAAGATATGGATGAAAATATAAATATAAACCGTTTTGCAGGTAGAATTTGGCGGCAAGAAAGTACAAAACCTGTAACATATATTATATTATATAGTAACTCAACCGAACGGTTTATTGAGCTAGATCAGCGCACAAGTTACTAACCTTTAAAGTTAAAACTGATCTATATTATTATACCCACTTATGTAGCACAACTACTATTACTAGTACTTCTACTGTATACCTCAAATCGAAAAAACTTAAAGCCTTTAAACTAACATTAAATATATTGTTTTACCCATTTACGTAGCACAACTACTATTACTGGTACTACTACTGTATACATAAAAATGGTAGCTGTAATCCTTAGATCGAATAAACATAAAGTCTTTAGACTCACATTAAATATTTATAATATTTTACAAACTTAAATATTTAAAGTGTCATCTCTAATTGATGTCTTCCATCTGACTGCTATTTAAACAGTGTTGTAGTACGTCGAAAATAAGTGTTGAGAAGCGTCGGCAGATTGCACGTGTGCCGCTCTGGCACTTGAAATTTGTTATTTTTCTTATTTTATTTTCGAATAATCCGGCGAAATGACGGCTTTAGAGCCAGCCACGAAGAGGAAGCGGATCTCGAAGAAGAACAAATCGGCGTGGCGAAAGACAGACATCCAGGATGTGGAACAGTTTCTGGAAGATCAGCGCCAGGAGGAGCGCGTTGGGTGAGTGAGCGGGTAAACAATGTGGGAATTCGGACTTTAACTGGGTATCCCTCCGTTTTCAGTACGTTCACGGACAAGCAGGACGAGGATCTGTTCGTCCTGGATGCCAGCCCACAGAAAACCAAGGCCACCGTCCTGAGTGTAAAGCAAAAGAGGAAGCTGAATGCCAAGAAGCCCATGAGGAGCCACCAGGCACTTGAGAACACATCCCGGGTTCAGGATCCCATTGCCAAGCGGTAGGTTTCGATGTTAAATCCAACAGATAGTAAACAAAATATAACAAGGTAACTGCAATCCCCGCAGTAACCATGTGCGCCAGAAGAAGAACGGCCGCAACATCGAGCTCGAGGTCTGCAATCCCACCAAGCCACGCCATCGCCAGGCCAACAGCGATCGAGGCAAGTACTACGAGAAGCTGGAGCAGCGACTGGAGGACAAGAAGAACAAGAAAGTGTCCATTGACAAGGACATCTGGCAAGAGGTGGACTTCCGCGACGCGATTCCCGGACTAAAGGACGAGAAGGGCTGGATCAGTCGCGATCTTGCCCTGCACACGGCCGGAAACATTGGCAAGAAGGTGGTCAAAACACACTCCAGTCTGCACCACAAAACCACCAAAGCCAAGTAAGCAGACCCGTTTTTCGAAATCTTAATTCTTAGAGCTTGAATATCAGTAATTTCCCCATAAAAAAAATTTGTATTCAAGTCCTAAAACGCCTTTATTAACTTATTTTTTTCTTATTCCTTCAGGAAGTTCGAGCTTCCGCATCCGGGCATGAGCTACAATCCATCGCCAGAGGACCATCAGTCGCTCATCTCGGCGGTGGTGGACCGCGAAGAAGGCATCATCAAGAAGGAGCAGCACTTGAAGCGCGTGACCACCAGCATGTTCTCCAGGGTGACGCCCGAGGAGAGGGACCAACGTCGCCTTCAGGAGATGAGCCAGGGCATCGAGGACGAGGAGGAGGCGAACGGTAAGAATACGGAGAACGCGGAGGAGGATGCGGACAAGCCCTACCACACGATCAATGCTCCCGTGGAGAACAAGAAGAAGAGCAAGCAAGCACGCCGCAAGGAGCTCAAGCAGAAGGAACTGACGCGCCAAACGGAGCTCAAGAGGAAGCTCAAGCAACAGACTGCTGATCTGATTCGGTAAGAATATTGTGCCAGATTAAAGCCGGCTGTAAATTATGCAGCTGCTTAAGTATAACGTTGGAAACACTTTCTAATTCTTAATTTTTTCGCATGCAGCATCAAATCAATTCGCCACGAGCTGGACGATGAAGAGGAAGATCTGAACGATCTGAAGAAGCGGCGCAAGCAGCGCGCCGAGAAGGCAAAGTTCGAGCCGAAGCGCTTGGGGCGGCACAAGTTCGAGGAGCCGGACCTGGATGTGAACCTGCCCGAGGATGTGGCCGGAAATCTTCGCAACGTGAAGACGGAGAGCAGCCTGCTGAAGGACCGCTTCCACACGCTGCAGCGCAACAATATGTTGCCCACGACGAAATTGGTCAGCCGCAAGAAGGCCAAGGTCAAGCGGTATGAGCGCAACAGTCACAAGGAGCCGGGTGTCAGCTATCAGGACTTGAAGGATCGCCGCAGGGCGGCCGCCGCTGCAGCCAAGGCGGCTGCTGATATCAAGATATAGTAGTTCAGTTATTAGGTTTCTTTATTTTACGGAGCTTACAACAAAATGTACTTTTCTATAGCATTAAAATCCACATTCTTTTTCCCCCAAAAAAAAGGTCATTATTTTCCTCTAGATCAGTGACTTGCCCTGACCGCGTTTCAGTTTCGGATTGTTCTTCTTTTTCTTCTTGGACAGCGGAGCGGCCAGGTCGCGATCTTCAGGCTGCTCGATCGGTCCATCCAGTCGCTTGACACCACTAAAAAGAAAGAGAGGAAGAATACGTTTCACTTCGTGTTGTTATCTACGTTTTTTTAGCAATTACTTATTAAAACGCACGGTATCTGCGCACCTACCTCTTGACGGAGAGCAGCCCGCTGCCACCGCCCGTTCCGTTTGTTTCCAGCGCCTTGGACCAGTCCTCCTCGCTGCCCTTGATCTGGAACTCGTCCAGCTGCTCGGCCTTCAGCCGCTTCAGCTCCTTGCGCTGCTGCTTGCTCAGCTTCTGGGCGGTTTGGTCCAGCTCCTTGTCGAGCGACAGGCTCAGCGGCTGCAGTTCCTCGCCCTTGGACAGATCTGCCTCCGCCAGCATGCCGCCCTCGATGTGCTGTTCCAGAACCGACCGGAAGCTTTGATTGCACCGTTTCATGGCATCAAAGAATTTGGCCAACAACTGATTGCCCGGCATGTTGAGCTCCAGGCCGAGGGCATCCACCGATTTGCCCTGAACGCCCAGGGCCAGAAGGATGCCCTGCTGCACCAGATCCAACTGCAGACCCTCGATCCTGCCCTGGAAATACAGCTGGGCAATGTCCGTGAGCAGATCGATGATTAGCCGGAACTCGGACTGCTGGCGGGCGTAGCTCTCCAGGCGCTGCAGATCGTGTGGCAAAAAGAAGACGTCCAACATAGGTTTGTCCAAGACTTTCAGGGCACTGGATTCCGTGTCCACGGACTTGTTTTTTAGAAGGGCCAGGCAGAGTTTCGTTTCAAACTCCCGGAAGGTCTTGCCCATCAGCTTCAGGACTCTCCTGCGGAAATCCTGGTAGTACAAACCCAACCAGGGCGTGGCATTTGGCGTGTGCAGCATGATGCAGCTGTGCTCGGCGGTCAGTTCGTTGGATTTCTGGCTTAAATACACCGGTACAAAGCCGGCGCTCTTCCAGAACTTCAGCAGTTCGGATGTGAGGCCGTAGGAGGTGCCGATGTAGTCCACGGGTTCCGGACTGCGTTCGTGCAGGCGCTGCAGGAGTGTGGGGATGCGACTGCGTGGACGGATCTGCTCCTTCAGCAGGCTCAGCTCCTCCTCCTCCACCTCCTCGATGCCTGGGCGGAATTCAGAGAGTTATAGAGGCCACAACAAAACCATTAAAGCACTCACCTTTGCCGGCATCCTTACTGGCAGTTGGTCCGTCCTCCAGGTTGGTGTGCTTTCTCGCATAGTAGTCCTTGAGCAACTGAATGGCCCGCTTGCCATAGCCCATCCTCTGGTAATTGGGATGCGTGGCCACCCTCACAATCCGCACGCCACCCAGCTTGGGGAAATCCCGATCGCCGTACTGCTCAGCAATGTTCCAGGGTATCAAATCGCCAGCCGCCTTCTTACCCCTGCCCAGGGAATCGCTGATGCTCTGGGCGGAGATCTGGCCCTCCAGGGCCACTTGGATAACCACTAGGATCTCTGGCAGGGCATCCATCCGCTGCACCGGACCCAGAAGACAGAAGAGATGGTGGGCCGGGGCATCACTCATCATCTGCAGATCGTTGGGCGTGTTCTTGTAGTGCGAGGATACATAAATGGAGACAAGGCGATGGAGAAAGGCCTCGGCTGCCTTGTGGTACGAAAACAGGGCATCCCTGTCCACATAGTACAGTTCACAGGCGTCGGGCGTGGGACAGCCGGAACTGATACCCGGCACCGTACTGGCATCCAGGCACAGCAGGTTGATCAGCCACTTCTCTATGTCGTCGTTCTCCTGGTAGCGAATCGACTCCTCCAGTTTCAATGGCGGCCTCGCATTGTTGTCCTTCTGCAGTTGGGAAATAAGCTTCAGGCTCAGCGATCTGCCAGTGCCTTCGTACCCATTGATCGTACTGGCCATGAACACCAAATACGGACCGATCATCTTCTTCACTAGCGGCAAGGGAATGGCAGCCGCCTCGTCAATCAGCAGCAGATCAGCGGCATTCAGCAGATGGGTATCGCTGGGCGCTATGTACTGGATCGTCTGCCGACTGCTCCTCGTGATATTGATCCTGATAATGGCCTTCTTGTAGTCGGCATTGGTGGAGCGTATAATCGTGTAGTCGGCATGCTCCTGGTACTCCAGGGCATCGAAGCCCTTGAGCACGAATTCAAAGAGCGTGATCAAGTTCTCTGGATGCGGTGAGGTCACATAAACGTTCACATAGCCAAACGCCACGGCAGCGGCAATGGACAAACCCAGGGCAGCCGATTTGCCACGCCCACGAGCCGCCGTCAAGGACATGGGCGGCTTCAGTTGCTTGTCCACCAGTGCCTCAATGAACTGGGCAACGGCATTGGCCTGATCGTATGTCTTGCACAGATTAACCAAAGCTCCGGCGGGCTGCACGGTCAGCAGGCTCTCCTTCAGCTCCTTTAGACTGCCCTCGTTGGGGGATCGACCAGCGCCAGCGGGCTACAAAGTGATGAAAAAGTGTCATTGATATTTCTAAAGGATTTCCAAAGCCTAGCTTACATTCACCGGCTCCACATTGATGGTCTTGGAGCTGAGCGGCAGCACGGTGAGGTCATCGTTGACCACCAGGCAGCGCTGGCAATCCGCAAGGGAGAGAATCAGGCGCTCGTTGAAGCGACACGTGACCGTCTGATGGGCCTCCGTGCGGAACCTCTTGTGCACATCCATGCTCATGGTGTACAGCTGCTTCAGTGACTGCAGCGTCTTCAGCAGCAGGATGATCAGTCCGCCGCCCTCCACCGTTTCAACGGTTCGAGCCAGGAGATTGGGGGTCAAGGCCTCGAAGTCCTGCAGCACACAAACGCCGTAGGTCCTTCCAAGAACCGCATGCGTCTCGGAGTAGTATCTGCCATGTATGGTAGTGGCCACGCGAAAGGAATCGAACAAGTCCGCCTCGTTCACGTCCACTTTTCCCACGGCAATTTTCTTCGCCCGCTTTTTGCCATGGCTAAAAGGTCATAAATATAAAGAAGTAATTATTGAAAAACTACATTCACAAAAACTTCATCCTATTTAACTAGTTTGTATCACTAGTATTACTGATTACTTGTTTGTATTACTAATTTTATAAAGCAGATAGTTTAATTTGTGAAAGATTATAAAATAAGATCTTTGTAAAAGGACATGCAATAGAATGGGTTTTGTAGTAAATACATTATTAGATCATAAGTTAGGATCATTTTCTGTATAGACGACTTTCAAACTCAACGGATTTAGGCTATAGCAATGTAACCAGCTGAGTTTTTGTGTGTTTTGGGGAACGCCCGTGTGCCAGAGGTTTAAGACCTTTGTGGGCCTGTAAGCTGATGGAAACCCACTTGGAAATGGCCTCGTCCTTGTTCTTGTAGCACCAGAGGACTGTGGGTCGCGCCTTGACCGTGGATTTGGTCAGGATGTCGTAAAGGATCGGGACCTGGTCGCGCGCCTTGTCCCCGATTACGATGAACATGGTGCGGTGGCCCAGCTTGACACCGTTTTCGATCATCACGCGGATCCGGTTGTCTATTTTCTTCTTCACCATCCTGCGGCTGTCCTGATTGCACTTTTTAGTCAAATTCTCCGCTTTACCGATGTAAATAATGGAAATTGCGGCGGTTCAAAATGCACGTGTGCGGTTTTGAGATGGACAGTTGGGCGATAGTCGCGGACCTGCTACGAGTCACTGTCACGGGGAATCACGGAGCAATATAATTTCGTGATATATTGCAAGCTTTAATATATTTAAAGTGATTCCTAATTGAATTACAATTATTAAAAATTATTTGCTTCTAATGGGACATTTAAAAAACCATTTCCTGAGTCCGCTAAGTGCATATAGTGATGTTTTACGTTTAAAGTCACAACATTGAAATGATTGAAACTATCGTTCCGTTGCGCATTCCCAATTCGCCCGCTGTACAACTCTGAATAAGGAGGTTTTTTCAACACTGCCTGACGCGCACGTTTTCCAACCAAAACAAACGAGATTTTGTCCAGATTTTGTATTTAATTACTGCCTTAAGAGCGTATCGCATCTTATCAAGATGTCCTCGTGGAAGAAGGCCTCGAAGAGCAACCAGAAGGTGCACCGGGAGCGCCACCAGCCGGAGGCGCGCCAGCACCTGGGATTCCTGGAGAAAAAGAAGGACTACAAGAAACGCGCCCTCGACGCCCAGAAAAAGGAGAAGACCCTGAAGCTATTGTACCGGCGGGCGCAGAACAAGAATCCCGATGAGTTCTACCACCACATGATCAACTCCAAGCTGTCCAACGATGAGCACCGCGAGCAGGACAAGAAGGACGAGCACACGCCCGAGCAGCTGGCCCTCATGCAGACGCAGGACCTCAAGTATGTGGTCATGAAGCGCACCATGGAGCGCAAGAAGATTGACCGCTTGAAGCTCACGCTGGTGGATGTGGACGGCGCCGGGGGAGGGGCGAACCAGCGGATCACTTTCGACGACGAGGGCTGCCAGCAGGCGTTCACCCTGGGCGAACGCCTCCAGGAAGCGGAACAAAAACCAAAGCCGGTAAGTGGACGTCGTAGGATTTCATGTGGGTATCTTTCAAGGGAAACGCCAAACTAGAGGAGGCTTCTTGTAGATTTCTTCTATAAATATGGATTTTGGTTGTTCAAATCACATAAAACCAACCCACTCTAGAGCGTCGAAAAGTCAGGACAGTTCCAGATGTTGTTAAAGCTTTTTAAATTAACCTTTATTTATAATAACTAGCCCCGTTTTATTTTAAGTAAGCTAAAAGGCTTTAAATTGAGAAAACGCATTGATATTATAGTTTAAAAGCAACTTCTAGCTTGCCAGGGGTAATTTTAGAGGATTCAATATGTCAAATACCTAAGTTTCTATCTTGAGAAAAGGACTAATGGTATTATTTAAAACAAGAATTTGAGAACATAATAATTTAACAATTTTCTTTTTTTTTAGGAAACATCGCAGAGCTCCGACAAACAGCAGCGCCTCAACGAGCTCAAGAAACGTGAACACCGTGAAAGGGAGCTGGGCATCGTCCAGCAGAAGATTCAGCTGAAGAACGCGCTGAAGCAGCCGCGTCTTCTGAAGCCGAAGAAAGTGAAGGACGGAACCAAGGAAAGTGCGCCCGTTTATCGATTCCGCTACGAGCGAAGGAAATGAGCACTGTTCGCCTTTTAGGTTCTATATATGTAATAAAGAAATTAAGATTCAATTGGATTTTTGTCATGTTTTTAAGGGGGATGAATGTATATAATGAACCCTGAATACAATTATTTCTTATTAATAGCCTGATAAAAAATAAAAATAAATAATAATTGTTTTGCTTACAATCAGACATACTTAATGTGTTGTGTGGTTCAGCATCAATATACAAATAATGAAATTATTTAAATAATCGGAAAAAAGATGATCATGATGAATAAAAGAGTGCGGAAATCGAAGTTTTAAAACATTTTGCAAGTAAAAGGATTGAAGCTATACTTTATTCGTTTTCGTTAAAAACTGAAACGAATTTAGATCGTCCCAAGACTCAAGCCATTCAATTTTAATGCATGTTTCGTTAAGTTAGGAGCGCTTAGCCAAGGCATAAGCCAGGCATAAAGTTTATGGTTTGAGTCTGTGATCACCAGTTTTTGGACTAAAAAATATAAAACAATCTACAAATTACTTACAGAAATTAATAAATATAAAGAAAATAGACACAATCTTTTAACCCGTAGGCTATAATTTTAGAAAATACTTGTCTTAAAGTTTAGATTTATTATGTTATGAGAAATCGTCTCTTATGAAAAGGATTAAGGTTTACCAAATATTATATTATTCTTATATTAATTTGCACGTTTCTTGGCGGGCCAATTTACATATCATGTTTTATCTTTTTGGATTTTGGAAGGCTATTTTTTGTATTGCAACAAGAAACTGCCTTATTTATTGTACATTCAAAACAAAGTTTTATTCATAAAAATGAATGTTAAGAAAGGATTTCAATGTTCAATTGTAGATATAATTTTAAGAAAGAAAATTTTCTTGATTTGAAGGTTGTTGTCATTATGATTTTGGGTATATTTGAATATATGACGAACTCCTTTTTAAACCATATGTTTCTATCTTTAATTTTTTGTTAAAAACAGTTTTTTATGGAACCGGTTGCACCTTTCTCTTCATTTTGAAAGTGGAAACCGCAGGCGACAGACGGACGGGCAAACGTGCGCCGTATCCTTCCATTGTTGTCGGTCCTTGTTGGCACGATAAAAACATATGACACCATTTTGATGAGTCGCGCATTTTGGCACGCCAAATTATGCATAAAATAGATGGCTGTGTTGACACTCTCCGCAACAATGGGTTACTCGGGATCGAAGGGGATGGAAGGGATCGGATCGGACCGGATCGGTGTATATCTCTGTAGTGCAGCTCACCTAATCGGACTTGTCACGAGGGCATCACAACAAACCGGGTTTTCGGGGGGTGGAACTTCAATAGTAACGCAAAACCTGCACAGATTTTTTAACTAGCATCAATTGGGTTTGTAATTTGAAACTTAACTGCCGAACGAGGGGTGTTCGGAAAATGGGAGTGGGAATGGAAATGCGATTGCGGTGGGCACATGTGTGTGACTGTTTTGGACGAACTCAACTGGGGTTGTGTTCAACATTTTGTTGTTTGTTTTCCCTGGGAGGGCAGGTCAAGGTTTCGCTGAATTAGTTGCCTCACAATAAACTTACAAGTTTCAATTTGTTGCGATCAACCAGAATACTGCTACAAATAAATAAATAAATTACATTTGTTTCTGTATCAAATGTTATACAATTTGAATACATTCATTTATTTATGTTGATTGTGTGGTTTTTGGAATATTTGATATATTTTTAGGTTGCTATTAAATTGCAACAAGCTAAAGAACCTATAGTTCTTAAAGAAAACAATATTCTTTAGTCTTCATAAATTGTTTTAAAAATCGATTGCTTTGTATTTGAAACAATAAATATTTTTGACTCGAGTTTAATCCATTGAAAGATAATAAGTTTAAGTCTTGTTCGGTTTGTCTTTAAGCTTGATATGCATATTGTGAGTTAATCTAGTTGAAATGTTCATAAGTTCATAACAGCCAATCCAAAGTTTTTTCACAACTTCCCACGTTGCCTTTCCCGGAATCGGAATATATGGATGTATGAAGCGGTGTTCCCAAAATAGGATTATACATTAATTGTAAGCTCGTTAAATCCCGTTGAGTGTGAGAATGAATTGCGCGAAATAATTTTTTTTTTTTGGGCGCACTTTTCCGCTTTAAAGAAAAAAAGAGAAAAGAAAGGGGAGTGAAAAGGGAAAAGCGGGGAAACGGAAAACGGGAAGCGATTCTCATGTCAAATGCACACGATTCACGCGTGTCGGGGGCGGCGAAGCGGTGAATTAAGATATTTACGCTAACAAAACCATCAATGATGGAAGGTTGGACCGATCCCCGGCCCCCTTTTCATCCCAGATCCGTCCAGATAGGCGGGTGGAACGGCCGGCGGAAGCGGGAATCCAGGACCTGGACGTTGACATCTCCTGAGCAACTCAGGAACACGCGCTCGGTTGTCAGGTTGCGCTTATCACGGCGGTCCAGTCGCCGCACTTTGGACGGGGTGTACCTTATCGGGGTACGACTGTATGACGGCACAACGGCACGACTGGCGGGACACGTGCGGTCACGTGACCGGAGCTACAAACTTTTACACGTGCGCCAGCACCACCAGACCTAAAAACCCAGACGGTAAGGCCACACAGAGAAAAAGATTGTACTCAAAAGGTATAATTAGCCATGAAATTGTACACCTGAAATACATCAGAAATCTAGAAGTAAACGTTGGACACTCTGCGTATTTTTTAATTAAATTAAATAACTTCTAACAAACTGTTAAATAAATTTTATATATATGTAACAACACAATGGAAAAATACATTTTTTAAGACAAATTAATTATATCACAGGGCCTAATACATATGTGTATATGTATGTTTTAAGTAAAGTAAATTTTTTTATATTAATTTAAACGGCTTTAGAAATATAACAATCTATTAATATTTTGTTGGGACTTAACCTTCTGTGTCTAATGTCTTAATGAATAATAATTACATTCATTTATATGATTTTTATATATTTACAATATTTAAATCTTACAATAACTAAATAAATATTTGATTTTTTAGATTTTAATGGGTTGCTATTATTTTAATTAATAATTATTATAATTATAAGTAATTCTACTCATTTATAAGCGATATAATCGCAATGTAAGCCCCCACATATTATATGGAGTTTTTCGCTCAGTGCTGTTTCCGTTCAATGTCACGGTTAAGGGGGCGGAATGCAAGTAGAACGTGGCTATGGGCGTGGCACTTGCTTGGGAACAGGATGAAAGGGAAATGTGCAGGGAAAAGGGGTTTGGAGATGTCATTTGCAAGCCAATTCCAGATTGATAAACAAATTAAGGGTATTTGACGAGTGGGCGGTCCTGGGGGCGTGGCTGGGAACTAAGAAATGCTGCGACCAAGCGATTGCTAAATGCAAAAAATCTATTATTAGGCTGTCAAATAAAACATTACAATTACATTTCAATTGTTTCCCAATTCGTTTAATAATTGTGAGAAAAGTGGCTGCGAAATTAAAGTTTACAACTTTATAAGACTATTTGTTTGAGCAATAAAAAAATTAATAACAATATAATTTAACTATTTAATAAAAGGCTGTAAATTAGCTAAAGCCCGTAGGAATCCAAAACGGATATAAGTCTAATAAAACAACAAGAAAACCATAATCTATCTGCTTTAGAAGTATCGAAAACTATGACCAAAATTTTGTACTTGCCAAAAGGCAAATATTTTTATTAAAAAGTGGACCAAAATGTTGTTTAAGATAGTTTGTAAAATTGACATATCAAATTTAGGAGCTCTAAGAAACTTTGATAAAAGACTTTAAAACAAAATGATTGTTATTCTATTTCAAAGAGTTTCCATCGTTACAAAATAATATAAAATTAAAAAGCTAATCAAAATGCCAAATCCTGCCTCTGGCTTATTACTTTCATCTTTTTGATTTCGACACTATAGTTTTTTCAAATGCTATCTTTTTCTTTTTGCCTAAGCAAACTTTTCAAATTGGTCATGGGAAATGGAAAACCCTTTCCCCGACTTTTCGCCAGACAAACTGTCTGTCATCATCGTTACAGTTATGATTTACCTGCCCATTTAGGAGCCCTGTGTGTCACTCCAACCCCATAAACCACCCCGAAAAAACCCTAAATGAAAACCCTAACTCAAACCCGAAAACGGGCACGCGTCAGTTCGCAACGATCCCTAACAATGCGGGAAAAATAAAAAAAGGAGCAGAGGACACAATCGAGCCCAACCTGAGCCATTAATATAAACGCCAACTGGCAAGTCAACAGGCGCACTAGACAAATCCCATAAGCAAATTCAGTTTACGCAGTTCAGTTCAGTTACCCCCCGGAGTGTAGACCCCTCTTCAGACCCCGGATCCGGGAATTTGGGAATCCGGGGTTCTGGAGGGTTACCCCGCTCAAGTGCAACCCTGTTACTTTTGGGTAAGTCGGAAGGAACGGAACTCGCACATGGACTTTTTATTGTGCGAGTTAACTTTGAAGTGTCGCTGTTTATGGGCAACGGAAGTCCTCGTCTGCCTTCATGGGAGCTGTCCTTCTGGCTTCTTTCTGGACTTATTTGGCTATTTTATTACACATTTTAACAACTACCTCATTCACTCTTAAGGCTTTCATGGAACTTTGCCCCTATTATATCTTAAATTGATTAAAATTAATACATCTTTACTATTCTCAAAAGAAAGCATTGGCAGTTTTGCCCCAATTTCCACTTAGGAATTCGAGTTTTTATTATTTAAAGTGTTAAGAGATAAACAAAATATTAAAATAAATCAGGCAGGTGAAAACTATATATTTATACATATTTAAAATAAATTTAGTTAAAATATCGTTTTATGGTTGATACGATTATTAAGCCATTTGTGTTGCCCTTCAATTTTTGTATTAATGTTATATGTTATTAATATTCACCCAATATAATTATTTTTGTATTTAAAATAGCACCTTGCCTTAAAGGTACTTGATTATATTTTTCATTGTTTAGCTAGTTCTAATTCCCAATTGAGCCACCTTTTGTATGGCAAAACTGTCGTTCCCTGGTGGTCCATCTACCCATCTATCCGTTCATCTGTCAGTCAGTTTGTTCCCGAATCGAGGAGTGTGAGAGTAACCCCTAAATTGACCTTTAAAACTCCCAAATGCGCAATTTATCATTTCCTCACCAGAAAACCCCGAGCACACTTCCAAAATTCCCAGTGCGAAGGGGGTTTCAGCCCACGGATGAGGATGTGGATGTGGATATGGATGTGGATGTGGATTTTTGACAGGGCGGAGCAGAGCAGACGATGTCGACGAGTGCCATCAATCGTTTAGACCACGATGGCGATGGCGATAGCGACAAATCTGATACGAGATTGCGAGGCGGATGCGGATTCAGATTCAGATGCGTCCCCGGTCGAGGATTATGTGCGTGTAAAGCGCACACCCACAAAAATGCTACCCTTTCCACTGGACGACCAACACCCATCGACCACCGACATTCCCCCCGCCCACAAAAAAAACTTGGACACACTCGGCAAAAGATAACTCAACACTTTCAGCACTTAATCCCTGGAATTATGTACCTTTTCTTTCAGTATGTGAATTTTAAATTTATTTTATCATTTAACAATGGACCTAGTTTGTATAGAAAGTGGAGCTTACTTGTACGACGACAAACTTAGCTGATTTTAAACGTGTTAATTGATTTTCTAATATGTAGTCTTACCAATGTATTCAAATTTCACTGTTAACTGGGCAAATACAATTTGTATAATCTTCAATTTATGATATATCTATCAAATATATTTATGCTATGTTATGATTAAAACGAAAATGTGGTAGATAATAATACATTTGTATTGAAAATTGATTTATTTTTTCGAGTGCACCTTGACTGATGTGAATGGGCAAAGTTTTGGCAACACTTTGAACCCGTTTGGGGGCATTCGTCAAGCTCGAAGCGACTGTCATTGCGGTCAGGAGAAGTTCTGGCTTTTTGGGTGCCGGATGGAACTTGGAATGGGATTGGGATTGCGATTGGGAATGAAAATGGGAATGGGAATGGGAATGGAAACTACAGGATGGAGTCGGGGGAACTTACTTCTGACCAAAGGTGAGCAAGGCAAAGTTCATTTGGATTTATTCCGGTAGGAAAAACGCTTGGTTTGCAAATTAGAAAGGGTCTTCGCTTAATTACAATGAGAGATGCAGAATCAAATGGTTTAATACACCATCAAGATGTTAAATGTAAATGATGGTCAATAATATGATTTATGATTTACACAAATATTTTATTTATTACAGGTAAATCATAAAAAGAAACGGTTCTTTTATTATATAAAGTGTTATACAAATTTTGCATTAGATAGTTACATAGTAATATACATTTTAAAAATGTATATTTGTGATTGCAATTTTTCATATATTTCTATTACTTTAATAACTTTTCATTTTAAGTAATGCTTCTGCCACTGTTCATAGCCCTTAATTTGTCTTACCTTCCTGTTGCCGTTCCCTCCCCTCACTTTTAGCCTCTTGTTGATCCTCTTAAAATCTGGTTAACCATTGTAAAATATCCTACCCAAAAGTTGCATCCTTCGACACACACATTTTTTGCGTGTTAGTTTTTGTCATGTAGAGCCCAACAACTTTGGCTGGCTTTTTGGGTTGGATTATTGGTTTGGGTTGATTTTGGGTGAGGGATTTTGGGTTTTGGGGTAAAATGGTAACAAACATTTGAGGTCTAAGCGGGGGGAGTGGGGGGTGTGTGTGTGTGTGTGGAACATGTGCGAGCGTGTAACCCATTTGGTACACCAACAAAGGGTCGGGACACGCCCACAGACAATCGCCCACCGCCCACCGCCCATAGCCACCTGTTCGCCCATCACCACCCCCTCAGCGGGCGGCCTTCAGTCCTGTTTCCTTTTCATTCTTTTTTTTTTTTCTGTATGTTGCCCTTTGGCTCTTCCCTCTTTCGTACTATTGTTTGGCTGCAAGGAAAGTGTGAACAACATTTTTCATAAATTTAACCAAACATTTTGCGGAGGAGGAGTGGCTGGAACAATGAAAACAATAGAGCGAACAAGAGCAATAACAATAAACGATAGATATTTACCGCAGCAGGGAGGCCGCCCAGAAAGGGAGGGGGATGGGGAGGGGAGAGGGGGGTGGTATTTCGAGGCGAAGGTTATAGCGAACCCTCGAGTCGTTCGATCCACCGGGGACTGGTGGCGTCCCTTTCGCACGCATTCGGCCTTGCCGGGGGAGACAATAACAAACCAATTACAGTTAGATTGGCCGCATATTAAAAATCGAATGAGAAACACATCTGTCGCTGTTGTGTCTGGTAACCCCGAACCCTCATCCTTGTAAGCCCCCCTCCCCGCCAGACTAGCCCCTCCCCGCGCCCCTGGGGGTATGCACGGTGCAAAAAGATGTGTTACTTCCTGAAAACCATGGGATGCAGAGAAAAACTACACTAGTTAATTGCTTTAAGAATATAAAATGTATATCCTAAAATGAACATAAATCATTTTAAAATTCTTTACTTATTATTTCTGTAATATATACATTTATTTTTAAATTAAATAGCTTAGATTAATTTAAATGTTAACAATGTACTAAAATTAATGGAATATTTAAAAATGTTTAAAAAAAACATTTATTATAGATACAAATATTTAAAGTAAGTTAAAAAATAACTTATTAAATGAATTTGAAACTATTGTTTTCGGTGTACAGCTTCCCCTTGGTCCGTTTCTTTTCTTTTTTGGCAACTGTTTCGAAAAAATGGTTATAAGCGAAAACCTGCGGGGTTGTGAATACCCGAAGGGGAGGGCGGTGTGAGCGGAGGGGGCGTGGCACCCAGCGGGCGATCAGAGGCGGCGGGTTGCGAGGGGTGGGGGGGTTTTTAGCAGGGGGTGAACTCGACAAAAAAGCAAACTACAAATAAAATATGATTATGAAATGATTATTATAATTATGCTGGCATCTTCACAGATGTTGTTGCCGTTAACTGTGACCACGCCCCCACACACATCGCGCCCCCCCCCCCCCCTGCCGACCATCCCCCTTTTGATTCTACCCAAAAATACAGGCGAAACCCAAGCGAGCTGGTTAATAATAAGCTGAAATTAGGGCGTGCTGGGCAAAAAGTCCCCATTCGTCCCTCACCAACCTGTGCACAAAGAGAAAATACTTGATAGTTCCCTTAAATGTACTGTCTATTTGTAATGTCATATTTAGCTAATGTTATATAGGTTCTATAATGTTGTAAAGAAAGACTTTTTCCATATCTTTCCGACATCATCAAGTAACATCATTATTTAATAATATGTTTAAGGATTGTTTTTTACATATTTCCTTTTATATCTCAATATATATTTTTTAATTAGCTGCACTATGACAATTATTCTTAACTTATTTTAATATTTACGGTAATTAACACTTTATTTTAGGTATATTTTTCAGTGTATTTCAGACTCAAAGCAGAAGAAGCTCCTTCTTTATTTTGTCCCATAAAAGATCTCTAAAAACCAGCACGTCGCAGAATTCCCACATATTTTCATATTTGTTCCTTGAAAAAGCGTGGGTGAAATAGGGGGGCTGGAGAAAGGGAAATGGAAGGCTAAAAGGGGCGTGGCGTGGGAGTGTGAGTGTGTGTGTGCCTTTGTGTCCTTATTATTAGCAGAGGAGGCGTTGAAAATCCTCTTAAGGTAAACTGTGCATTATTAATGAAGTGCAGGACTCGAAAACAGCGAAAGGGAAAACGAAAGGATGGCGAAGAGGTGTCGTATTTGTTTGGGGTTTCACTTTTGTTCATCGGGGTCATGGGTTAAAACAATGGCCACAGCACAATATTATAGATGGGAAGCTTTATGTCAATAGTTGATCCATTGGGTGGAACAACGTTGTGGCAATGCCATTTTTTAAACAAATTGGAGCCAAATGATAAATTATAAATTGGCTGAGACAATAAAAAGTATATATTTATGCATTTTTATGTTTATAAAAAATTTCTTAGTGTTTTATTATGTTTAAGGCACTACAAAATGATTTATTTTGAATAAAAAATTTGAATGAAAAAGTAAAATATTTTATGGCATATAAGTGGTTTTGTTTTATTATGTCCACCTTTACAATTAAAGTTTAATAAAAAACTTTTATAATATTTAAGAATCTCATTACTTTTGAATTAGTTGTACCTCATAAGTTATTCTTGTATATTTCCATTGATTATTTTTAATTCTAAACTCTAAAAATTACAAAAAATTACTTACTATGCCCTCCTATTTTCGCTTGAGTTTTGTAAACTATACTATTATTTATAATAAAAAAATAACAAGTAGTGCCACGTTAAAAACCAACAACGTGTAAAGCAAATGAAAAATCGGTGGTACATATATTATTATTATTATATTATTTATACTTCATCAAAATCATTAAAATTGGAACTTATGAGACTATGTTTTACATGTTAAATTCCACTTTGAAAACCCTCATTTAAAAATCAATCAAAATGTCCTGCGAAGAAAGCACTTCGTTGCCAAGTGCCTTTCCAGGATAATACTCGGTTCGGTCCGCACTCGATTGGGGGAAGAGATCCTCTGCCGACTAATCGAATTAATTGCTTAGACCCAGTGAGGCTTATAACCACCTAATCAGATGAGAACCGCAGATGAGAATTTATTCCTGGCCGCATCGCAATCTGGTTATAATCTCGCGCTGATTACAATGGTCACCGGCCTTAGCCTTTTTATTTTTTTTTTTTTTTTTTTGTTGGTCCGGGGAAGTGAAGTGCGAGATTGGATTTCGCCCGGCACCCACTCTATTGGAATAGCCTCCCCCTTCTTCGTTCCGCTGGAAAATGTTCAATCAAGTGAAGTTTTTCCAAGCTCCGGAACTCAAGTCAATAATTCACCTGTTCAACTCGCCGCTCGTGTCCGTTTTTCGGCCACTGTTTAATATTATAAGTAATTTTTAGCCCCGCCCCCCTCGCAGGTAAAGCCCCCCGCCCTTTTGTCGTGGAGAGGGGGTGGGGGGTGAGGGGATTGTGAAGCGTTTTCGCCGCCTGTTTTGTGATGTGGAAACGATGCGCATAAAATCAGCGGCGCGTATGGCAGGAAAAGGGGGTTGGGGGTTGGGGCAAAAGGGGGGAGGTCTTAAGAGAGAGGAATAGAAGGAAGGGGGGGGGCGAGGGGACGGTGGAATTGGAAGGAGCAGGAGGTTGTCGACACCAAAGCAGCCTGGCAAGCTGGCCACTAGATTTCCCACACTGGGAAAAATTATGCAATATTTTATGTATACTACTAAAATTCAGCGGAATGTGTGCTATTGAAGACCTTTTTAGATAAACTTAGTTTCACAATAAAATAAAATAAATTTCAAAAAACCGAAACTGTGATTTTCTTTATTCCAATTACTTT